AGAAGCAGTGGGTTTCAAGTGCAGGGTCTAGCAGCGTCACCTCAGGAATGAATAAAGGTCTACGGATGAATTTCTTCCTTTAACTCAGGGGTCTGCTGCCAATGCTGACTGCGGTTTGGGGGCAAGTCTCAAGGTTTCCATCTGGGAGGAAAGACAGTGGTAACTCCCAATGGAAATAAAATGTGTTGTCCTGAGAACCAAGAAACAATACCAGTGGGGGGGATCTTTGAAGGTTGGATGAATTAATGAATTAATGGGTGGGAGCAGGGTGGAAAGGGTGGAGGAATGGGGACAGGGCAAGGAGAGTGATGCTTCCCTGAGTATTTTTTAAAATGGTTTTGGTGTTAGTGTCCTGTTATATTTTACATGCTCAAAATAAAACCAGTAAGGCTGAGCACTGTTTCCATCATGATGATGGGAATGGTCAGGAAATAAAGGACATAAATAAAGGACACAAACGTTAAAGCTTTTCTGGCTTTTAAGGAATCTGTAAAAAGCTCGGAAATGGAAATCTACACAATCTAGAGTTCTATAGCTTCCTTGTCCCAGGGACAAGTATTTGTATGATCCCAGGGAGGGGTTGACAAGTGTGACACTATAGACTGAATGTTTGTGTCCCCCCAGAATCTGAATGTTGAAACATGATTCCCAATGTGATAGTATCAGGTGGTGGGGTCTTTGAGAAGTAATTAGATCATGAAGGTGGAGCCCTCGTGAGTGGAATTAGTGCCCTTATAAAAGAGACCCTTGAGAAATCTCTTGCCCTTTCTACCATTTGAGCAAACAGCAAGACTATGGCCGTCGATGAACCAGAAAGTGGGCTTGCACCGAATTTTTTGACACCTTGATCTTGGCCTTCCCAGCCTCCAGAACTGTGAGAAATGAATTCCTGTTGTTTATAAGCCTTCTAGTCTGTGGTATCTTTTTTGTTACTGAAGCATGTCTGGACTAAGATCTGTGACTAGCCTGTTGGAGGTTGTGGGAAGTTATCAGAGCTGGGTTCAGGACAATGTAATGCAGGTGGTTTGTCTCTGAATCTTGTTTTCTCATTTCCTACCTTCTCTTCTCTCCTTAAACCTCCTTGCTTAGTTCTCTCAACCTATCTCCATGCCTGATTATCCCTAATGATGTATTATGTCAGGATTCTGTAGAATAATCTTTAAGTCCTAATACTATACATAAAAGTTTTGATAGTCTAAGCACATCTAGTGTTCAGTACAGTGTTTTTGTAGGAGATAGCTGTAATTTCATCCAGTAAAGGATCCAGAAAGATTTTAATCCAGAATTCAGAATATGTGATAAGTTTATATGTTCAAGTCCCCACTGAGGTAGTTCAATATCAAGTCAGCCATTGGCATGCAGAAAAATCCTGAGTAAACTTGACTTTTGCTTTCTCCACTCCAGAAAGTGGAATAGATGTAGTCAAGTCCTAGGAGAAAAGATGCAAATCAGAGAAGACTGAGTATCCAGGATCCAGTAAGGATTCAAATTGATCTTGGAAGTTCTGGCCCAATCCCAGGTTCCCCTAAATCAATGATGTTTGGGTTAATTTGGACTCCTTTTCTTTGGACCATCAGGCTAGCTCATAACCTCCTTCCCAGGGCACGAATCCTCCTAGGATATCTTCTGTCAGTAATAGTTCTACTTTGCTGTCCTTTACCCTCATTAATTAGCATTGGAAAAGAGAAGGAAAGAAAGAGTAATTTGTCAAGACATTCACCCCACGGAAATTCCCCCAAATGTGTTATTCTTGTCGTTTATTTTTAGCAATGACATCAGTTGGGTTAGATTTGGGTTTCTAATGAATCAATTCCATTCACATCACTCTTTATTAAATATGCCAAGCAGATTTTTACATTACAAAGCTACCAATTTTTAATAAGAGTTATTTAATAAGTTTATCTTTAGGTCTTCAAGGATTTATAGCTATTCAGCAGAGTGGGGAAGGGCTGCCTCATTTATTGGCTATATATTTAAAGAACAAATTTTGGAGAAGTTATTCAAGTAACATGTGTCTTTCCTCTTCAAAACACTCCTAATTGTTTGGTGGACATGTGGACATCACAAAAGAGGGTATTTCAGCCCTAAGTTCTTGAAAACCAGGAAGTGTTACACAGAACTACAGCTCCCCAGAGCTCCATCTTTTCAGATCTGAGCCATGGGTTATGATAAATAAATAATCTCTGAAGTGCTTATCTTTGCTTCTGGCAAGGGTATAACAATTCAGATGTACAGCTTCATAACGCCTACAGGAAAGAATTTAGGAGAAGAAAAAAAAGAATCCACATGTTGGCATGAAAAAGAGAAAGGCACGCTAACAACAGAAATTACAAATGTGAAGAGGATATGGGGGCGACTTGACTCAGAGCGGGAGAGAGAAAAAAAGAACCACAAGATTTCAATACCAGTAGTTGGATCTAAAGCCAAGAAAAAAGATGAACTCACAGATACCAGGAGTATTAAATAACCAGATGTTATGAGACTGTCATCATAACATCTGGTTATTTAATACGCTTACTGCAGAACCTCAGTCCTGTGGAATACGCTGTTGTTTCTGGACTGAATCTAGTTGGTGCAGAGCTTTCTGTGAGATGAAGCCATGCATCCCAGGTGTATTTTGAAGTTACAAAAGAAGTTATATTGCGCCCCTGAAGTTAGTGTGACTGGAGCTGTCTGCCAAACCTGGTATTTGTAGCCACATGACCCACATGGCTTACCATTGATGGGAAAAGCCAACCCATGGAGATGAATGGTTTCTACCCTAGAGAACCTCCTTGATGGAACTGGCCCGAATGCTACCCAGTTGGCTTTCACCGGTGATGGGTATAAGAAATTGCCCCATCTAGAAAAATGTCTGTAAACATGGAAGTCCTTGACAAATCGACTTCAAAACCAAGCGCTGGGAATGGGTTTCTTCCTCCTGACGAACTGAACTGTTTCCTAAAATGACACACAGAATTGTGCCATCAGCTGTCTTCTACTTTTCCTTTCTTGGTGGAAAGCTCAGAAGGACGTTTTGTTTGATGGCTATCACTCTTTTCAATCAGAATTTATTGCTTAGTTTCTCCCCCCTCCCCACCCCCGCATTTTTAAAAAAATATATATTTTATTGGTTTTTTACAGAGAGGGAGAAGGATAGATAGTTAGAAACATCAATGAGAGAGAAACATCGATCAGCTGCCTCTTGCACACTCCCTAGTCCGCAGGCCAATGCTCTATCCACTGAACCAAACCGGTCAGGGCCGCATTTTTACTTTTTGGTCCATTTTGGTTCTTAAAAACTTTTTTACAATCTCTCCTCCCGCTCCCCATGAAGTGGGTGGCATATAAAAAAGTGCAATTAATTCAGAGATTTGAAATGTGCCTTTGAGACATGTGTTTGCAAATGGCACCGCACTCCCCTGGTGGAATATGTGTCTCCTCCCTCTCTATTGTTTATTTCCCCCAAGTGAGAAAGGACAAGAGAGCAGGGCAGCAAATCCAAAGCGGAGGGTTTGCTTGGGAAATTCTCAGGAACTAACAACTGACAAAATAATGCCCTCTGAAACTTGGGTCCTGTGGAGAATTACAATTCTTTTGTTCAAAGACTCTTTTCTCTTGTACAAAAACATAGTTGGAAGCAGGTTTCAGCCAGTTCTTTCCTGAATGCTCAAGTAACAATTGAAATAAGAAATGTGACTGCCCTGACTGGTTTGGCTCAGTGGATAGAGCCTTGGCCTGCGGACTGAAGGGTCCCAGGTTCGATTCCGTTCAAGGGCATGTACCTTGGTTTCGGGCACATCCCCAGTAGGGGGTGTGGAGGAGGCAGCTGATCGATGTTTCTAGCTCTCTATCCCTCTCCCTTCCTCTCTGTAAAAATTCAATGAAATATATTAAAAAAAGAAAAAGAAAAAGAAATATGACCACAGGTGCCGTCTTCACCCAGATGCAAGGAAATGTGGATATTTTCCTACAGTCCCAGGCAGGAAGGCATAGCTTGCAAAAGCACTGACAGTACCATGCAGATGGGGATCTGGCAGATTTCCCCACCCTGCTTGCTAGCCACATCCCTAGATTTCTAGGACATCCATTAAAATCTTTGCCTTTGTTTCAAATTGTTCATAATTATCAACACGGTTTTAGAAATCAGTTGGGAAATTGGAAGATTATCCTTTCGATAATACGTGGGCCTTCGGGCTGTTTTCCTTCAAATGAGTAATGGTTGACCTCGTGTCACTTTGAAGAGGAAAGTCCTGGTGCTCCCTAGTTCTGTGCATTTTAAAGGCATAGTAACACACTGACTATAGTAGATAGTAGATGCCAATAGGGTTAAGCGCATGAGTTTTTAAAACTGGAAACTAGAAGGAGCTTAGAACAGCAGAGCGCTGATCTGGGAGTGAGAGCCTGAGTTCTGTTGCTGCCTTTCCATGATCTAGTTCACTAAGAATAGTGAGCCGTGTGCCCACTGCCACCCCAACCATTCATCCCTTTTCCCTGTGCGGGGAGGTGATCCTGCCCAGGGCATCACCCAAGGCCCCTGGCTGTCTGCTGTCCCGTTGGTCTTGGCCTGGAGATGATAGGTGGCAACAGAGTGACGAGGTGGTTCGCAGATGCGAGCCTTTGCCTCATCATTGTCTCTTCCCTTAACCTTGCCCACACCTTTCTAAGGTTCTTACATTGGAACTCTCTGGAGTGGATTCTATTTTCAGCCAGGCCTCTCACCCATACAAATGGTAACCAGCGTTAGCCAAGTGGAAATGGCTTGGGGCAGTGAGATGGAATCCCCAGTCTGTGGGACCACACCAGCCGGGTCTAGATTCCTCTGAGATGGCCAGTGGGGAGAAGCGGGGAAGATTGGCCCCACCAAGCCCGGGGGAGGCCTGCCGCTCTATCATGAGAAGGGTAAGACCAAGGCCACTCCAGGGGGCCCATCCACTGCTTCAGAGTCTTGTATTCAGTTCTACCCACCAAAGACAGTAATGCACTTGGACATTTGGGGATAAAAGAGCTTTGCTCGTGAGTCAATCAAAACATTTTTAATAAATTTTTTTTAAATAACAATTGGACGGGAAGGTGAAGAGCTCCCACGATGGGGCAGCGAGGCCAGAGTCCAGGCTTCGTTCTGCTGGCAGCACCGTTCTGTCCCCAGGACCTGGACTGAGCTACAGTGCGCATCACAGGGGAGAAACCAGGAGCCCCCCGGGGAGCAGAGGCGGCCCCAGGCGGCAACGACACCCTCAGCCTTTTACATTTATACACTTTATATACACATTACATCCAAGTAGGACAGTCACTGTACCATTTCGCAGGGAGACACGAAGCTTTCTGAGGCAGGCAGGGCACGGGGTCAGGACGGACACCAGGAAGGGGCTGGCAGCGAAGGGGGCAGACACAGAAAGGGCAGCTCAAGTGCAGGCTGGGGCTGCGCTCACAGGAGCTGCAGGAGCCTGAGGGACTGTAAGAGGGCGCTGGGCTCCGCGGACGCCAGGTACTGGCAGCACAGCCAGTCCTCCAGCTCCACCCCGCGCTGGCGGTCCACGGCCTTCTCCGCGAACTTCAGCATCATCAGGGCGCGCTTCATGTCGATCCAGTTGTGCAGCGCGCTGCTCAGCGCCTCCTCCCAGGTGCCCCGCTGCTCCACC